CGGCGTCGCGTGCTTGCCTCTAAGCGACCCAATGGGCGACCAGTCCCTGGTGGGGTGCACGAAGCGGCGAGCGGAATGTTGTCTAGTATCCGTAGCCTCGTCCGCCACCGCCGACCATGGCGACTGCGCTCTTGCCTGGTGGTGGGAGGCTGACGTTAACGCTGATAGGAGGACCACCAGCACCACCGCCAACAGCGTTGACGGTGCCGCCGACGCCGACGCCAACACCGAGCGACATACCATTTCCTGTTCCAGAAACTGGCAGCGGCACGGGTTGACCAACCGACGCAGCACCGACGAGGGCCGATAGGCGTGCAATTTCCTCTCGCGAAGCGACCAGCGCGGACGTCAGCCGCTCGTTCTCGTTCGTGAGGTACTCGACCTTGGCCTGCAGCTGCGAAAGCCACGCCTTCTTGCGCTGGCGACACTTGAGCGCGGCTGAGGGTACGCGTCAGTATAGACGCGACAACTGCCAAGAACAAGACGAAGGTTACCTTGCCGATTCCGCTCAAGGAAGTTCCTCCGCTTCTCCTCTTCCGTCTCAGGCTTCTTGGACTGGTTGGAGCCTCCCTTCTTTGACACTGGTGACGGTGGTGGAAGCTCATCGTCCTCCTCTTCCTCTTCCTCCCCGAGGCTCTCGGACTGGTTGCGCCTCCCACGCCCCGAGTTGGCGTTCGAACGCGTCCGCTTGGAGGAAGCGCCCTTGGCACTCGGGGGCGCCTGGGGGGCGAGCTCGGGACTGTCCTCGAGCATCGCGTCTTCGTACGTGCTCTTGCGCTTTGTGCCGCGCTTGCCGTTGGCGGGGCCGACGGCGTTTCCGTTTGTCTGGGCACTGGCAGCGGCGGCTTTTTCCTGCTCTCGCTTAGTAAGCTCCTGATGGGCCTGTGAAAGGAGGAAGAGGCCGTTGGTCGAGTTAGACGCCGCCTCAGAGGCACTGGTGACGTAGTTGGCGTTCGCATTCTGCTGGCCGTTCTCGCGACCGGCGTAGGCGGCGGTGTGGGACATGGACAGGGGCGAAGGGTTCGTGGGCGAGCTGTTGTGGTGGGGTGGGCCCGGGGGGAGTGCGCCGGTGATGGCAGAGAGGGTATTGGGGGTGATGGTGGCCACATTTGAGAGCGAAGGAGCGGCGTTGGAGTTCATGAGGTTGAGCCAGGCCGCGGTGCCAGGGGAGGGAGGAGGGAAGACGGAGCCGATGATGGGGGTGAGACCTGTTCCAGGCGTGAGGCCGGTGCGGGGAGTGAGGCCGGTGCGGAAGGTGGAGGGATCGAACGCGGTAAGGGTGTCGTTGGGGTTGTTGGACTGAGGGCCAGCGAGCATGGCGGGGGAGAGGGGACCTGACCTGAGGGAGTTGGAGAGGCCCGAGGAGGAGAAGCCCCATGTGTAGGCTGATGGGTCGGCGGGGGAGCCGATCGCGTCTATCGGGGGAAGAGTCGGCTTGCCGTCGTCGCGGTCCTGAGATTTTGAGGTGCGGGAGTCATCATTGCGGGAGGAGGGCTGGGAGGCGGAGGAACGAGTGGTGGACTCGGGGCTTTTCTGCTGGGTGCGGAGGGAGGAGTCGTTGGAGGGGCGGGCAAAGGACTGCTCGAAGGGGTTGGGTTCGAGGTCGAAGGTGCTGCGTTTTGGATTGGGGGCGGGGCGATGGGCGGGGGCGTCGGGGTGGTGTGCGCGGGAGGGAGAGGGCGGGGAGGCGTCTGGGGGGATGACGTTGTCGGTGGGCGGGCTGGCGGCGAGGACTGGGTCGGTCATGACGTCCGTATGCAAGAGGGAAGCTGTCCGGGAGAGGATGACGACGAGAGGAGAGGTGCGTGGTGAAGTCACCGGTGGCCCTGGGCCTAATGACGACGCTGACGTCGTTATGTAGAACATCACCCCGAGCCAAACCCTTTTCACCACCCCCCGGCCACCCTCTCCTGGGGGGCCCCTCCGAAACAACGTCATGGTGGATAAGGTTGTGCCGCTTCCCAGCCCGCCGCCGCGTCTAGACCCGCCCCCCTCGCGCCCCGTCGCCCCCGCCCCCGCCGCCCCCGTCGCCCTCGTCGCCGTCGCATCCACCCTCGCCCACTGCCCGTCTGGGTGGGACAGCGAGGGCAGGACGCGGGCGGGCGGGGGCGATGAGGATTTGGCGCATCCAGGCCATCTTCCCACCGGCGGACTCGTGTGATCGAGACGGGCGCCAGGCGCCCTGACAGCGATTTGCCCGCCCGACGAGCTCGGCCTCCGCCCTCCTGTCTGCACCGTCCCCGCCTGCACGAGCGACGAGCTGACGAGGGCGATCGCGCCCGTTCTCCGCCGTCCATCCCGCTGCGAGCTAGCTTCGATGGGGCGCGTCCGTGTCCGGGGCGAGGGGACGGCGGCCCGCCTGCCACGTGACGCTATCGGGCACGGCATTGCTGCCTCGCCATCAGCCATCCAGCTGATCTTCTTCGCCCGCCCCTGTCAGCCTCATATTCCAACTTCCGATGCTGAAAACATAGCCTCGCCTCTTTTGCCTCATACTTGCGCTCTCTGCGCCCTTTACCTCGCCCAAACGCAGTCCTATCTACTCAACGCTCGCCACCCACGTCGGCCTAGCTTTCGCCCTTCGCAGCGCCTTTTGTTCAAGCGAAGCCGTAAACTTCGACACCTCGTTCCTGTTCCTGGTCTTTGACTTACCGCCCCGGCCAAAGTCGTCTCAAACCTTGCTCCGCTTCCCGTCCTCCGTCCCAGCGTGCACGCTGTCGCGCAGTGCGCATTCACGACAGATGTCTTCTCCTCTCGACATATCGCCGCAGCCCCGTGCCGCCCATTCATGGCGTTCTCGGGGATCACGCACGGTTAGCCTCCTCGCAGCAAAACCCTTAATCTCAGCTGCTGATCCCCCGGGTCTCCCCGCGCTCGCGCTCAGTCCTTACTTGTCTGTCCATCCGGTTAAAGTCGCGGCGTCCAAAGAGCCGTGACGCATGGCCCCGTACTCAATGTCCATCCTGTCGGAACGCCCACATCGGACCCTGCAATCAGCGAGCGCATCATTACACGCACGTTCTCCCCGGTCTAGCCTCTCGCACGCAGCCGCGCCTGAGACGCGAAGAACGCGCGAGCAGAACCCGCAACGCAGCACGCTCTGAGAGCCCCGCCGCGAGGCGTGCAATTTGCCCGCACACGTGTCGCGTGCAGATTTCGCGCGGGCTGTCGGCCTCTCTAGATCTGGCTCTCGGTGGGAGATACGCCCTTTGAGCGCGCTGGACGCGGATGGCCACGGGGAGGCACACGTGTGGCGACAGGGACGTTCTGTGTCTTGAGATGGGACACGACCATCAGACCTCAGCCGTCCGCGGTGTCGCGTTGCGCGCCCGGTGATCCCTGTGTGTGGACTTTGACCGCGCGAACGTACGTACGCATAACGGCTCCCGTCGTCGATCGTCTGGGCATGGGGTCTCGGAAGTCGTCTTAGCCTGTTGTCGGCAGTGTCGCCCCCGCTCACTATTGGCCGTGTCCGTTGCGGAGTTCGTGCACACTTCGAGGCGTCGGAGCGCCCGCGCGGGTACCTGCGAGTCAGTATATATATGTTTGCGCTTTCCTGGCCGGGCAGCGGACTCGAACGTGCCCCCCAGCCTGCTCGCAATCCTTTTACTCGTGCTCGTTTCATTACGTACGAACGGCGATCGTTGTCAGAGATCAGTCCCTCGTCTCGCGTCTCGTTTGTGCATGTCCCATCGAGGCTCTCCCGACCTACCCCCAATAAATTGTCTGGCAAACACATGATGGCAGACCCCTAAAAGCCTGGCTCGAAGTGTGTTAACCCGCCCATTAGCATTCCATCGTCGGGGGCCGCAAACACTTGTGTTACTGTATATACGAGTGTTACACCCAAACGGATGCCCATCGTTCGTGCCCGCAGCCTCCCCATGCCTCGTTCGACGGTAACCATGGTCGGAGGGGAAGAAGCAAACCCGAACGTTACACCTAGAACGGAGCGCTCGGGCCGACGGGATGAATTCCAGCTGCCTCGCGCGTCGAGATCCGTGAACGTTTGGGCCCGCGAGCCCGCTGCGATCTGCGGCGGCGCTCCGTCGACGGATTGGGTTCTGCCCATGTCACAGTCCCGTCCCGAGCACGCGTCCGAGCGACTAGATGAGGCCCGCTGGGCACGCCATGCGCCCACGGCCGTCGAACTCAACACACGGAACTGAGAGCTGTTGACGAGTGTCGGTGTACCACACGCCCCGCCACCCGCGCGTTCGCCTCCGGGGTCGTGTTCACCAGAACGGCGCGCCCCGCTGCCTGACGTCGGTGTTGCGCCGAGGGCGCCAGCGTGACCACTTCGCTGTCTGCAACACTTGCGACCCCGACATCACCGGCTCGGGGCACACTCGCCGGCGACCGCACGCCTTCCACTGCACATCACGCCAAATTTCCCGTCAGGAAATGTTTAGGATAGGTTGTATATCCAACACATATCCCGCGTATATACTGGGATCCGGATTTCCGGGCCATTTTCGATGACAGGCGACCAATTATGCCCACGTGACCTGTTCACCTCGCGCGTCTTAACGCGTCTGCGCGTCGAGAAGCACCCTGCATTTCCCTTGCTTCATTCCCCCATCCTTCCTCAGGCCTAAGTGCCATGTCCAACCATCACCATGACATTCCCCCAAACCCCATCGCGCAACGCCGCACCGCTCTATCAGTAGGCTCGTCGTCCGTTACCTTTGAGTGCCTGCAAAGTCCCTGTGCTCAGCCCACCGGCGGTTCACTTATCCCCAGCCAGGTGTGCCTCACCTCCGATCCGGTTGGATCAACCGCAGTTATATGTGCATGAAGAGTGTTACGGGCTTTCCCGGGATTTTGGGGCGGAGCAAAGGCGAGTATAGCTCATTCTTTGGGTAATTATATGCGCACTGAGTTGTGCTATAAAACATCCGCAGTGCGACCGAACACTGTGGCGATGATGCCCGGGTACGTCCTTCGTCTCGTATGCGTACCGCCTTGGAATTGATACACCTTGAAGTCAGTGCGACAAGATGGACACGATGGACACGAGTGACAACGGAGCGCCCGAGTCGAGGTGAGTGCAAACACTTGCGAAGTGGTATAAGTTGCAGCGCGTGTGCCACAGCCCGCTTTGCAGTCGAGACCGGCTCTCTGCTCCCCGTTTCGCTGTCTCATATATACGTAGTGATATTGATCTAGCTACAGTACTTGCAGGGGTGCAATCATCGGCCGCTGAAACCCCTCACCCAAGACCTTCACCCAAGAGCATCGCACGGCAGCCGCCCGCCCCACCTTCGCTGAGATCCCGCCTGAGCATGTATGGGAGGATCTGGCCCGCGATGGACATGATCAGGTGCGTTCTCTGCTCTCTCTCCCGTATCCTCGTCCTCGCCATCCCTCCTCTCCATCGCGTGTGATCATCCCCTGCAGGATGCTCTACATGTGGGGCCGGCTGCTCGTCAAACCGCCCTGGAGCACCATTCCGAGGTCCACGATCTCCCTCAAGGACTTGGCCCTCGCTCGGCTCCCCACCCATCTCTTCGCGATCTGCGGCCCCGCATCGGTCTCGTTCCTCAAGAAGTCTCTCAGGTACCACCCTACCCGCACCGCGACACGATCGAGGTGCTCGAGGAGTACTTCAACACCCCGCCCACGTTCCCCTTCCTCGACCGCATGCTCGGTGTCCTCAACGCCCTCGGGCCCTACGGGCGCGCGCGCGAGGACACGGAGCGCTTCCAGGGCTGCGCAGGCGATCTGTGACGCGTTTGACTCGCTCGACAACGCCAAGCTCCTCAACGTCGTCACCCGCATCGTCGGCCACATCGACGCGCTCCTCATACTCGCCCGCACCGTCCGCCGCGGAGCGCAGAGCATCGGCGTGCTCGGCGTCGTCGACGCGCGCACGCGCGCGGGCCACCGTCGCCGCCGCCTGACGTGCCGTCCATGGCACGATGGACAACGGTGTAGGTGCCTGCCGAAGAAGCGCTCCGACGACTCCTGGGACGGGCAGTCTGGAGGCTGTCGACTCGGACTGAACCTGCGTGGACCCTGCTCCCCGACCGTGGCCAGCTGCTGCGTACTATTGTGAATCCCGGTTGCTGCTAGTATCCCCGCATCCCTGTAGCACGTGTCAGTAGCGTAGATGTCAGAATATACATTTTTACCAATATCGTATGAACCATCAGACAGCCACGAACGCACGACCCGGAATAGCGAGTACCCTGGAAGCGCCAGCCGGGATGTGCACAGGATATTTCTGGGGAAAGGGGAAGTTTCGAGGAATATTCCAGAACCTTCCTGGCAGGAAAGACCTTGGATAAATCTGCGATATTCGTTATATCCCAGACATATCCTGCCAGGAAATTTGGCGTGATGTGCAGTGTTCGAGGCATGCGTGCACTCGGTGGCGACACCAACGCCACGGGCGACCAGCTGGCGTAAGCTACCGTGATCGACGTGCACGGTGCAAGGCATGCATGCCATCGACGTATGTGTCATACATCGTAGCCAGTATTGCAAGCAGTCGGTGGCCCAAGTACCCGTATCGAAACAGCAGATGTCGCCCACGGGTAGACACCACGCGCGGATACTAAACATGACGTTGTCTGTATTCATGGGTTATGGGCTACAACAACCACGAAGGGTACAAGCAAAGCAATCCCGAACCAGATCACGCACGAGCTGGGAGGGGCGGAGTCTTGTTCTTGCAAGCGTTAGGGAACAAGCCTCTGCAGAACCTTGCCTGGTCGGGACAACAGGTGACACAAAGTAGCACATGTTCTGTGCGAAGGTTAGCGAGCATATGGCAATCGTCTTACCAAAGTGAGGACATCAGCAAAGTTGGTCTGCACTTGCGGTCGACGACTGGACGGTGAGCACTTGACACTCTGCTCTTGCATCATTTATTCGTCTTGTACTTGGACACATGTCATGTAGTCGTAGGGGGGTTACAAGATATTGCAGGTGATACGAAAAGCAAACTTGACAGTTGGGTTTTGTGCTATTGAAGGGGGAACGGAGTTCGGAGACAGAAAGAGGAACTTGAGGATACGTAAACTTGCGCAAGAATACCGCCGTGCCCTTTCTGCTTGCCACTTGTCCGCGCCTTGCCATCCACAGCGAGTGACACATTTTGGAGCCATCAAAGCAAAGTAACGATCAACACATGGGACAGTCAACGCACGGTTGCTTCACCAGCGGGAGTCGCTGTTCCCGTTCGTGGCCGCCGGAGCGTCGTAGTCCCGACCCCGGCCGGGGCTGCTGCCACGCGGGGGGCTGCGGGAGTAGCTCCTGCGCCGCCTGTACTCGGGCGAGTATCGCGACCGAGGAGGAGGACTGCGGCGGTCGCGCCAGTCCCTGCTGTCCCTGCCGTAGTGGTCCCGGTCCCGATCGTCCCGGTCGTAACGGCCTCTGTACGGTTCGCGGTCACGGCGATTCCTGTCGTCGTGACGGTCGCGAGGAACATAGTCGCGACTGCCCACCTCAGGCTCGCGGCGACGATGACCCATGTACTCGCCAGGAGTGGGAGCATGAGGACGGTCAGTAACCGAGTAGTCGACACGAATGCGGCGGCCATTCAACTCCTGCAAAAGCCGCTCAGAAGCTGCGCAAGATGAGGACAAGCAGCGGGACTCACCACTCCATTGAGTTCCTTGATGCATCGCGCCGCCTCGTCGACGGTAGACATCGTGATGAATCCGAACCCACGGGAGCGGTCGGACTATGACCGTATGAGCACAAGGGCTGGCGGGAGGGCAAAGCGAAACTCACCCTCTGGTCATACACAATGACAACCTTCTCGACGCGTCCAAAGCGGCTAAACTCGTCATCCAAATCCCTCTCGGTCGAACGGATGCTAAGTCCAAAGACACCGAGCACGTTAGAAGGGTTAGGCGCCTGCTTTGCCAAATTAGTCCGTACACGCCTCGAACATGCGGACAAGACATACAATTGGCGCTTGCGCTGGACGACGGGGAGGGGGCGACCTCCGGTAGCTTGAGGACCTCACTGGGCTACGCGAGCGCGACCGGCCGCGGGGAGGAGGCTGGTCACGGTCGCGAGACTCTGAGGGAGGTGCGGCGGACGCAGGAGGCGGATCATTGTTGTAGGCCTCGTTGTAAGGGTCTGCAGGGATGGCGGAGTCGGCGTACTGGGTTTTCCGAGGGAGAACAGACGTTGGGGTGAGTACACAACACCTGGAAAGGGAACAGAGAGGGATATGGGGGCGACGTGGCATACTCACCATGATGGTTGGAGTTGGCAGGAGTTTGCGCGTGTTTGGCGCACGCCCGCCGCCCGTTTCAGAGTCCGCGATGGGCGCCAAACATTATGTAATGTGCGGCTTTATTGGTGCCGATCGAGAACGCCCAGGCGCACTACATGCACCCTGAAGTTGTCTCGCATCCTCTTGACTGGGTTAGGAATCCATATGCGGCTGTGCTTCTAGCAGGCATGATTGAATGACATTCTCTCCCTCCTCCTACCGATTCTCATACATCTTGCGTATGTCGAAGCGACACCACTGCCCTCAACCAAACTTCCTTGCGTTCGCCTTTTCTAATTGTTCTCGAGTCTGTCGAGGCTCAAATCCGACAGGAACGGGAACATCGCATGACCACCCTCGTCCTTCACGTCGAGAAGGCCTTCCAGCCGGTCGACCGCGGCCGCAGTAGGCAGAGGTCGTCCTTCCTGCGCCATGCACTCCAAGAACCCCTTCAGATGGTAAGCCTCGCCCTGGTACGCATCGGCGATGCGTGGCACGCTTTCGCCGTCGCCGTCTTCTCTCGCCGTCAGACGGAGGAACGCCCATCCTTGGACCGGGTGAAGGTAGAACACCCAGAGCACCTTCGCGTCGCGGGGGACCCATCTCGTCGAGAGCGGCACATTGGCGACGGTGCGCGTGCCCCAGGGGTCGTCGAGCCCCCGCGCGCAGCCTTGCAGGGCTGCAGGTTCGGTGATCCCCCGAATGGGGTAGTTGGGACGGTACGAGTCCTTCTTGTCGAGTCCGTACATCGGGAGCAAGTCTGTGAGGGATTGTACGACTTGCGCGGGAGTAAAGAGCGCCAGAGATGAAAAGGAGGGTTCGGAGTCCCACTTGTGCTTGCCGACATCGACGATGGTGAGCGCGGAGGGGCGCGTCTTCATCCCCGGTTCCGAAATGTTGTCGTCGAGGAGAGCCGGATGGAGGATGCCCTCGAGAGTCTTCAGCTCTGGAGGATAGTCGCGGACGAGGGAGAGAAGAGGGGCGTCTTCGACAGACGAGCAGCCGATGAGGTTGAGCACCCGAGTACGGGGCGCGGCGGCGAGGATTGTGACGATGTCGTCTACGACGGTGGAAGCGTTGTTGGAGACATCCAGCCAGTTGACCTCCGCGTCCCATCCAGAGAGCACCCGGAGAATTTGCTCGCGAGAAAGCTGGATGCCAGACAAGTCGACGAAGTTCGGGTGCTTCCTGTGCGTCTCCCGCAAGACCTCTTCGAGAAGGTCCATGGCGTTGTCTGGATAGGGAATAAACCCGCCGATAGCGTCCTTTACATGCTGAGCCCCGTCTGGAAGGCGACTAAGTTGAACGAGGTCGTCGATACACCCGGTTTCCACCGCTTTGCGCGCGGTGAGAGTGTGTGAGTCACTAGCACCGGACTCAGACGGTGGAACGTTTCCCGCAACGCCCTGGTCTCGCGAGGCAGGAGGGTCCGAGAAGCGCTCATAAGGCCATGCCTCTTGTAGGCGGCTGGATGGAATGAGCGGAACATTACGCAAAGGCCGCATGCAATTCCGAAGGTATTGGAGATGGGCATCTGTGAGATACCATTGTTTGAGCTCACTGCACAGAACTCGCAAACGGCTGAGCACTTACTTGAGCTGGGCTCCTCGCCCATGTCGTCCGTGGATCCAAGGACATCTTCATAGTATTGTACAAGATATCCGGGGGCATCCAGTACAGGCCCGTCGGCCACCATGAAACAATACTTCGGATTATAGGGATCGGTAACATCAATGATGGTGATACCGTCATTGTTGTCTTCGACAGCATTAGCGTTGTCCGGACGAGACAAGGGCAGACACTCACCGCCATCCCAGCAGCCCATGGGGGCGTCGAGATAACAGAATCCACTGGAATAGTATTCGCCTTGTTCACCCGTCTCGAGATTGGTCGACCAGGCGGTGGCGAACAGAGAGGTCGTGTATGGGCATGGGATATCGGGGATTGTGGGCTCTCTGTTACCGAAAGCACCGTACTTGCCGTCCAGGTTGCGGACCTCGGAGAGCAGAGCGGCCGCGTTCAGAGGTTGGCGAATGAGGTCGATGAAGCGGCGGGTAGCGTTGAGGGGGAGGGAACCATAGCACCATTGGTGGTGGATGGCAGCTATGCAGCGGCGGTTGCCAGGGTGGCCGGCTGGAGCACCGTGGGGGCGTACACGAGCGATGAGGAAAGCTTGGTGTCTCTGTCCCATGGCGGGCGAGGATGGCAAGGGGGACGAGGGGGGTAAGGGCCGGGATGCGCATACAGCGACTCGACTTTATACAATCCACCCCGGATCCTTTCTTCGATCCCGAGCAGTGGCCTGGGTGAGTTTGTCCTATTGTGGAAGAGGACGACGAGTCACAAATGCGCGCACTATCGTCCATCTCGGGAGTGTGCGGAAGCGTCGGCCCAGCCGCGCCCACGAAGTCACAAAGGAGGAAGATGAAGTCATGTTCGCTGCCCATTTAGGGACGTTCGACATCACGGCACATACCGGGCCGCCGGGCCCACAATC